TATTGTTAGTTCTATAAGTGAAACCAAACCACTGGTTTCAAGGATAACGTTGTTTACACTATATATATATATATATATATATATATATATATATATATATATATATATATATATATATATATATATATATATATTATGAACCTTAAAACTTATAGCAGAATTACGTGTTATATTGTTAGTTTACTTCGCTTTATGTCAACCTCTAATTGAATATTACAATATATACTATGTCTTGGCACCTCCTCCCCATGATGTTACTCCCAAAACATACCACATCGAAGTGGAGAGAGCACAACGTGCAATTCTCAATGCAGGTGCTGGTCTCCCTATCCGTTTTCCTACAGAGGAGCTGTATAAAAAAGGGATGTACTAACGGTTAGACAAACCTTCATCCTGCATATAGTACTTAAACGACATTCTCATTTACATTATAACCCAGATCTTTTTAAGTATAAGCGGCGCAAAGATATAATATGCATAACTCAAACTTTCAACTAAGCTCTTCCCGTAAGTTTTCTGCTTCATGTGGAATGTCTCGTTTCCAGTAAAAAAAAAGGTCTCCGGATTTCTAGACTCACTATACGAAACACCGCAGTATTAAGCTACTATTTTACGCTGGTATTCTGTGAGAGCGAGGTCCCTCCCCCGGTCGAGCCGACCCATTCGTACTACAACCATATTACCATAATCTGCAGTGTGGTTCTACCACGTATGACTACAATGGGTGGTAGTAATAAAATAGCCCAACTGGGAGCCTAGCATAAGTATTTTTGTTTGTTACATCAATTTTTGAAACCAAAGGTGAATTGTGCAAGCCGGTTAGTGCTGCAATACCTGAACTTAAAATTGCATAAGGACTATGCTTATTTTTAAGCGATGAAAAAACTATCTTCGGTAGTTATTTAATACCTATAGTATTAGCCGCGTGCAGAGTTTGCTGATGTCTACCCCTCTCGTCTCCGCTTACCGTGTGCCGTGTTCGCTTAGTTAGTAGTTAGTACTGTAGCGACGCTGTCGTCGCGCTACAAGCGAAACACATCGAAGCCTGAATCGCGCTATCAAAGTTCCGAAGTAAAAACTCGGAGCGTTGGCCTTGGCCGCTCCTCGGGCAGAACACCTTACCCGGCGGGAGATCTCCCCTTTTCCTTCCACCGCTAAACTGGTGACTAACGGACGTGATTTGAACACGCAACAATGCATCCTTCAGAAACTTCAACTTCAAACTTCGTCATCGTCATCAAGTACCCCCTCCATTCTCTCCCGAGCAAGTATCGTCTGCAGTCTTGACATCCTGCTAGCCATCTAGCTTTACAAGGTTCATCGCAGCACTGGAATAATAATGCTTCCTGTTCCTTCAAGCTACTCTCTACGCTACAGTGTACGGCACGGCTCTGAGTCTTACTGCACGTCTCTGCTTCACGGTACTCTCGCAGATTACTTGTCTTCAGTTGCAATTCCGTAGCTGACCGCAGGCAGAAGCGGCAGGCGACGTGTCGTGACGTCATATCGCTGCAGTCATGATTCCGAACCCGACTGCTGACTGCAGCAGCCTGTGTGTTCAGTGGGATATGATGTCTGACGTGTTTGAAATCCGTGATCGCGATTTATTTTTGTATCTTTTGTTAGAGGAGGAAGAAGATGATTATGACTTGATTTTATTGAGAAAAGACAGTAAGAAACAAGTCCTGTGTTGAAATGCAGAGGAAGTAAGGGAACGTACAGTGCGGGATATTGGGCCACCTGGCTTATCAGTTTCCCTTCCTCGGAATCGGTGAAACTCATTTTTTAAGAAAAATTCAACGTGATGTCGCTCGGGCGTTGACGGCACTACTGATCTGCGGTCGGGCTACAGTGTCGTCTGCCGCTAGGCAAACGATGTGTCGCTAGCTACGGAACGTATTTCATAGAACTACATAGAACCAGTTGTGTCGCGACGACACGTCGCTTGCTGCTGCTGTCTGCAGTCGGCTACGGAATTGTACCCTTCTTCTCAACCCACGCCTCGCACTACTCGACGCAGACTACAAGGCAATCTCCTGGCACTTGCACATTCGTCGACAACGAGACTGCAATATCTTTGTATATACAATATTGGCCGCTCCCCGGCCAGAACACCTTGCCCGGCGGGAGATCTCCCCTTTTCCTTCCATCGCCAAAGTACCGTTATCAACGCAGTCGTGGACTCATGAACTTTCACATTTATTACTAAGAATTTACGTCTTCGGATTTATTACTCTTGCTCCGAAATTATTCATTGTTTACCTACTTGTTAAGTTTCTGTTTGTTTTATGTTAGTGTTAATTTTTTTATCAAAATGGGAAAGCCTATCGCGGTGTCAGACGTGTTAGTTAGTTCGAGTTCCTTCGGGTTCACGTGCATTCTGGTCTCTTGACATGGCTGTCCAAGGGAACATCTGTCAGCCATCTCTGCAGAGGGAGGACGACTCACTGGCCCATGCCGCAAAGTAAAAAGCCGATCTACTAGCGTTTTTTTATGCGTCCACCTCGACTCGACAACACTTCTGACCACCCCGCGGTGTGAGTGCTCCATGCAAGGATGTGCTGTTTACACAGCGCTCGGTGCGCAAAGCACTCCTCTCCCTGGACGTCAGCAAGTCGATTGGGCCTGATGGAATCCAACCTATTGTGTTGAAGAGGTATGCTCCGGAGTTTGCTCGGCGGACTCCCTAGGCGTTGTCCCGAACTCATGAGAGACAGCTTTGATACACCCGATCCCTAAAAAGACGACGGCTCAGATCCGTTCAACCACAGACCCGTCGCTATCACCTTATTCTCTTAAATAATGGAGTCCAATATTATATTTCTATTATATATCCAATATTATTATTATTAGTTTTATAACTGCCTTTTGGCTATATCTGTCGTTGTATTGATTGGTAGATCATATGTGTCGATCTCATGTAGGTGGTACATGGAGGATCTGAGGAGACTCTCAAGGCTGCGGCCGAAAGCCGCACAATGCGGAACCCCATTTCCTTGAGGTGAACGGTAGATTCATGACACGCTGTGCGGCTAGTAGCCGTGCTAATCATGCAATCGGTGGTGATGACATACACTTACATAAGGTCTGCAGGAGCGGTGGTCTGGCAGGTGGTAACGCTCACGGAGCGCTATTATGGCCAGTGTGCCTATTATTCGACGTGTTGCCTAAACCGTGTGACGTACATTCACTGTGGCTGGATTAGATCGAAATTTGAGATATTTCCAGACCGAGCGATCGATCGAACGAGATCGAATTCTGAGATTTTACTAGATCGATACAGTACTTGACAAAGCGTGTAGATAGCGCATTTACAGAATTATCTCATTTGTAAAATTTATTGTACCTACCAGATTTCTATCTTAAAGTTGAAAAGTTATCTGAAAACTTCTAAAATCGGAGTGTTCATCTATTTATTTTGTATCTATCCATTGATTTTAAAATACTATGTTGTTACGTTGTGTAATTTATTGAATGGCTGTTATTAATACCACATAGGTTCCATACATTAGTTGACATGGCCTGGTTTTGAGAATTAAACTAGATACGTCGTCTTCGCAGGTCGATGTAGTACTTGTCTGGCCGTGTAGGTGGCACTGTTACAGAATTATTTCATTAGTAAAAACAACATAGTAGTTTGAAATCAATAAATAGAAACAATATCAATAGATTAATACTCCCATTATATAGGTTTTCAAATAAATTGGCAACTTTAAGGTAGAAATCTTTTAAAACAAATTTTACAACTAGTTTATTTATTGATGAGATCAAAGTCATAATATGTTAATGTAAAAGAAAATAAATTAAGGAAATTTAGTAGGCAGTAAACAGTAGGATTGGACCTTGTCACTTCACAGGATCACCGGTTAGGGTGGATATGATTTATGATGTCGATAGATTTTAATTTATTTATTTGATTCAATTTTTTTATTTTTTTGTAAAATATCAGTGCCATAGGCTTCTACTACATTCACATTTTACACCCAATTTTTCCAGAGGGTAAAAAAGGTCTGAATGTCACTATATATAATTTCTATCTCTATCTATTATTATATTCTATCTATTTTTATATTAGGAATATCTGAAATTTGGTTTATTCATTTTTAATGTAATTATGTACTAATATTTCAGAAAGAAACTTTAATCTCTACACTTCACTTACCTCGTTATGAATTTAGATTTTACGCCACGACCAGCAGTGGAATTTTAAATAAAATAATGTTACCATCACTCTAGCAGTCTCTCCTCTATAATTGCGAGACAGTTTAATTAAATAAATTGCATAAGGACAAACATCCAGACCTGGAACATCATTTGTAGGCCATACAAATAGTTGTTCCCTTAACGCTGCAACATTGAGTTGCTATTGCTACCTAAGTCACATAGCCATCATAAACAGGCTATTAAAGATGGTTTGTCCATAGTCATCGCAACCCGTTAATTGGTTCTGAACCCCAAAGTTGATTAATAAATGAGTCTCAAGTCTTTTAAAATACTTCTTTATTACTTATTCTACAAACAAATGCTTGTTAGCCAAGCAAAACAGTACGATTTATCACATAATAAAGTGCACACATTATGCACTTTGTGTTTGAACAAAATTGTATTTTATTTCATGCTTGATTACATACTTCAATCAACAATATATGTACCAGGAATTCGCAACAGATAGGTCGGGTGACCTTATTTGATAGTAAGGTGAATTTGTACTTGCAGCAGTTTGTTTATTTAATCCTCGTCATGAAAGACCGTAAATATGGGTTTTTTAATGTTAACCATTTTTAACATTTGTTAGAGTTTTAATATTTACATTAGATCAAAATTGAATTTGTCACAAAACTATTTTAGTTATTCTTCAGTTCAGTTCTATAAAAAAAGTGAACAAAAGGTAAATTTAAGTAATATTTCAACACTGTCTTTTAGCTCTAATTTTGTTTAAAACCTGTCTTAAAGTATATTGTTGATCAAAGTATTATTGATTAAAAAATCTTAAGTCTTGTTCAGTGGGGAGCGGGTTTGTGGCCATCTACATAGAAGTTCCTAGTTGCTTTTGGTAACTGAAGTTCCAATCCCTCTAGTTCCTTTGTCAATACTATTTGACAACCTGAAATTTAAACAGAAAAATAATTTATAATATAACCATTTCATATTATACCGTTTCTTAGTTTCTTTGATATATTTACCAAAGAATGCATCTATTTCGTAAGTTATTCATTAAAATGATTTTTTTTAAAAGATATCTTTAAAAAAACTGGGTCAGTAAGTAATAAAACCTCTGATATGGTGACTTAAAATTCTATATTACTCAATTATATAAAACGTCAAGAAAAAAGTTTCATCGTATATTATAAGTATACAAATTTAAGACTTTTTTTTACTTTAATTACATGTAATTATAATATAATATATGTGCCATTTTGTTCGGTAACTTGTTGCCATATTGAAGGTAGTGACATAATCCCGTTGTTGTAAAAATCTTGGGATTTTTGATAAAAAAATGCGACAACTAGTTTTGACAGTTCTCTCTTGATATTAACCTAACACTAGCCATAGAATTCTCAAGAGACCGAAGCAGGTGAAAATCTGAGGGTACAAGGTCAGGACTATATGATAGATGCATTTACACTTCTCAACCAAGCTCTCTCAATTTTTGTCGAGTAGCCAAAGATGTGTGTGGTCTGGCGTTATACTGATGAAATACCACTCCTTTTCTGTTGATGTTTTTCTTAATTTCTTGGTTGGGTCTCATTAGTTGTATAACCAGACTTTTTCAAATGGGTCAAAACTGCTTTGTTGTCAATCCTCAATTCTTCGGCTATGTCGTAATTACTAATTTGATGTCTCTAAAGTAATAAAACATTACAATCAAACACATAGGAATCGACGAGATATCGCTTGAAATGTTACTGTTAATGCTTCCACACACGCTTGAACTCATAACCAAAATTATCAATACTTCTTTTAACTCTAACACATTTCCCACTTTGTGGCAACAAGCATTTGTAAAGCACATACCGAAAAAGGAAAACCCCGTTGAATTTAAGGACCTTAGACCAATAAGTATATTACCGAACTTTTCTAAAATATTGATAAAAATTGCCTGTAATCAGCTGACACATTATATATTTTCAAACAATATATGGCCTATAATGCAATTTGGCTTCTGGAAACAAAGAGGTACTACCACCACTCTTACGGATGTTGTAGATGATATTCTTACAGCACAAGATATGGGGAAGGGAAATATCCTTGTTCTTTTTGACTATACATGTGCATTTGACTGTATAAACATTTCATTACTACTCTTAAAATTATCCTACTACGGGCTTAGCTCAAATGTAGTAAAATGGTTTAGTAGTTATTTCCAAAGCCAGTCCCAATGTGCAGTTTTAGAACAAGATAACAACGGTGTAAAGCAGATTAATATGAAGAGGAATAGCGCAGGGGTCTATGATAGGGCCATTGCTGTTTATATTATATAGCATATCAAAAATTGTAGATCTGAAGAATTGAAAACCATGTTTTAAGCGTAGTGCGAACTGCTTCTTCAGGCCCAAAGTCATGAATGGAATAAGAGATTATATAGGATCTGAACTCTCCGAAACATTAGTTCTAGCAAAATTATACTATGCAGACTGTGATAGGCCCTAGACTCTTGGTACGCTCACAGAATATCATACAGCGTGTCTAAATTGCCTGTGTTAGAAACTCTTATGACGTCACCACAGATGTTACTACCTATATAAACAATGCTAATATTTTAAAAATTAAATATTGAAGGCAACTTCACTTTGCGTCACTGCTATTTGGTATTGTCATATAATGTAAGTCTCCAATTTATTTTATACGATAAATTGCAATGGACCAAAAACATTAATACTACACACAACACTAGCACTCTTATTATTAGTCTAACATATTGCACTGCAGCTTTTCGAGGTAGCTTCAAGTACACCGCTACGAAATGCTGGAATAACTTATCATCACATATACGCAATCTGAAAAGAGTAAAACTCTTTAACATTAAATACAAATTACACCTGATGAACCATTAGAAAACCGAGTAATTACATTTCTTATAATACATATATACACACGCACGTATGCACGCACACACACACGCACGCACGCACGCACGCACGCACGCACGCACACACGCACGCGTTTGTTTCTTTTTTATCCATTTTTTAATTTTAATTTATTATTACTTTTTAATTTTAACGTATTGTATTTTGGTTCCATCTTTGTCTTTCCATGTTTTTTCTATTTTAAGCTTTTAAGAAATTTGAAACACAATTTATGTAGTCTAATCTCGTGTTTTTTTCTGTTTGTCGTTTTTTTATTTATAAGTGGGATATAATTGGAATTTATTTACAATATATTAAGATGCACTGCACGAATTACCTGATAGAGACGAAACGGGCCACATTGAAAAACAGCGGCTGTGGTTCGTCAAGCCAAATGCTGAGTGCGATCCACAATTTCACATTCGGCATTGTTAATACTATATTGTTATTAATAATTCTAAAACTGAAGGTAGCCAGGCTAATTATGACAATGGGAAGTCAAACATTTCAGCACCCCCTCGTGACCATGGGTGCTGTAAAACACCCGAAACGTCGGCAATTAAAAATAAGTTAGTTAAACGCGATAAAATGGTTTTATTCAATGTGTAGTGTTCGAGTAAATTTAAGATATCATTAGGTATATATTTAGATAATTAGGTACCTCGTTACTGGCTCCATAGTTACAGATCTATTATTTGACTAGCGACCCAACCACAATGATCTTAAATGTTCGATCAGTGTAAGTAGACCTCCCAGTACTAGTTACTGCCTACTAATGCAACATCAGCATAATACTGGTTATTTGTACTATTATCAAATTGTAGCACTTCTCATTGCCACTCTTTCATTAATAATGTGATTTTTCATTAGTAAAGTGAAACAGAACTTATTAAGTAGGTAAAATATCTGAGTTTCAAAGACGTTCAGGTTGTTAAACACTAATGTTCCTATTATCAGGAAATTACTAGTACATTGCATTCATAGCATAACACCTCGGTGTATTCTATTACCAATAAATATCAAAGGATTTAATTTGTTTTCTCACAACACCTAAACCTACAGTAGGGGGGGGAGACAACCCTACATGGCGTAATGGGCTAAGTGATACAGACACTCGCACGCGGACGTAAGGTGCATTCATTCATTCATTCATTCATTACAGCCCTTCACAAGTCCACTGCTGAACATAGGCCTCCCCCAAGTAATGCCACAAAGCACGGTCCTGAGCCACCTGCATCCATCGACTTCCTGCATGTCTTACCAGGTCGTCACTCCATCTAGTGGGGGGTCGCCCTACACTACGCCTACCGGTACGAGGCTGCTACTCGAGAACCTTTCTTCCCCATCGATTATCGGTTCTTCGAGCTATATGGCCGGCCCATTGCCACTTCAGCTTACTAATCCGTTGGGCTATGTCGGTCACTCTGGTTTCACTGCGGATATCCTCATTTCTGAGTCTATCACGCAGTGAAACTCCGAGCATAGCCCTCTCCATAGCTCGCTGAGCGACCTTGAGCGTCCTCATACGGCCAGCGGTGAAGGACCACGTCTCAGATCCGTAAGTCATCACTGGCAACACGCACAGGTTGTAAACTTTAGTTTTCAGAGATTGAGGTATACCTGATGAGAAGATGTGTCGTAATTTCCCGAACGCTGCCCAGCCGAGTTTAATCCGTCGATTGACCTTTCGGTCGAAGTTGGACTTACCTAGTCGGACTATTTGTCCCAGGGAAACAACTTCGAGCATAGTGCTCCCAACAATTACCGGCATAGGTGTGACATGGACATTAAACATGATCTTTGTTTTGTCCATGTACATCTTAAGACCTATCCGTTGGGAGACACCATTGAGGTCATTGAGCATAGTGCTAAGGTCCTCCAGCGATTCTGCCATGAGGACTATATCGTCGGCAAATCGAAGGTGAGTGATGTACTCGCCATTGATGTTAATACCGTATCCTTTCCAGTCCAGTAGCTTGAAAACGTCTTCCAACGCAGCGGTGAAGAGTTTCGGGGATATAACATCACCCTGTCTTACACCTCTCTGCAGTTGGATAGGTTTCGTACTCTGGTTCTGTACTCGGATAGCCATCGTAGCCCTACTGTACAAACACTTCAGCACTTCAATATACCGACAGTCAACTAGGCACCGCTGAAGAGACTGTAGCACCGCCCACCGCCCTGTATGCTGTCAAATCTGTTGACGATTGCAGCCTCATCTTCCGTCTAACAGCCATGAGATTAAGAGTGTGATCGGAGAGTTTTTGTGTTCTTCTGCGGCGGGTCTTGCAGAACTTAGCTCCGACCGCATGGATAGTTTCCACGAGCTTGTCATTCATATCGTCCACTGCATTGCAATCCTCTAGGCACTGAAAGCGGTTTTGTAACTCGAGCTGAAAGGTTTCGGGATTCTGGATTAGAGCACGAGGGGGACAGAGCGTTGACTTCATTAGACGAGACCTCTCCAACTTAACTTTTAGGTTCAGTGTGCCTCTAACCATTCGATGATCGCTGCCAGTTTTCACCCTTGCGATCACTGAGACATCACTGAACAGTTGGCGTGTGGTCGTCATAATGAAGTCAATCTCATTTTTTGTCGAACCGTCGGGGCTCGACCAGGTCCACTTCCTGTGGGGCCGCTTCTGGAAGAAAGAGTTCATCATAAAGAGTCCCTCTTTCTCCATAAAGTCGGCCAGCTGCTGGCCCCTTCGGTTCCGTTGCCCTACTCCAAATTTCCCCACCTTCAGCTCACCGCTTTCTCTTGTGCCCAGTTTTGCGTTGAAGTCTCCCATCAACACCGTGTAGTGGGTTTTGGAGGAATGCATGGCTCTGGAAATATCCTCATACATTTCCTCCACCTCCTCATCGGGATGTGCCGAGGTTGGTGCGTAAACCTGTATGACCTTCAGCGAATACCGTTTGGTGATTCTGAGTATCAGGTACGCGACCCTCGTCGACACACTCCCAATCTTTACAACGTTGTTGACGAGAGACTTGTGGACGATAAACCCCTCCCGGTGGTAGAACAAGTTGCCGGACTCGAGGATTGCCGTATCCTCCCCCTCTCTTCGGACCTCGGATAATCCAATAATATGCCAGCGCAACTTGTCTACCTCTTCTTCCAGCTCCAGTATCTTCTCGTCAGCCCTCAGGGTGCGTGCGTTATATGTTGCCAGGTCGAGTCGTCGTAGGTGGCAACCGAACCTCCACCGGAGATTCTTAGCACCCCCTGCCCCGCAGTTACCATGGTCGCCACCGTATCCAGAAATAGCGGGGCCGCCGGGGACTGGGGGCCGTTTTTTTGCGTCATTATTCATGGGGGGATATTTGCCATAGTTGCCACGCTTGGCGAGCGGGTTGGCAACCGCAGTTTTTTTATTATAACACAGTTGTTATCAGGAAGATGCTGCTGCCCATCTCCTTTCTGTCTCCCTCTGTCGCCTCTTACGACACCCACGGGAAGATATGGGGTAGTGGTTATTCTCAACCGCCACTACACGGCACGACGTAAGGTGCATTTTGGTTTTATACGCACCTCCGCATTAATTTTTTTCGACGATTTAATTGGTATTATCACGAAAGTCGCTTCCGAGGTATGCATTATTATGTATTATGAATATTAGCGACGTTATAACTAGATTTAAACTCGCAAGTTTGCTATCAGAAAGTGACCTTTCTATTATTGAACTATTATTTATTCTGTGGTTAGATTCACTCATGTTGGCTGACAGAAAAACAATTTAAATATGGCCGGAAAGTGCTTTTTAATTTTAATTTTTCTTTTTCTTAACATCCTATATGTATTGATATTAAAACCAGTCAGATACAAACACTACAACCAGAGATTTTTCTTCAAATTTAATACAAACAAAATACGAAGAAACTTTTCCCCGACCTACAGATTATATATATACAGAGTTATTTTGCAATAACTGGCCAAATTTGTAGAGAAAGTTCAAAATAAGTAATAATAATACAAAGAATAAAAAATAATTAATACAAAAATGTCAACCATTCTGTACTTTTATCTAATAAAAACGCGTGGAAATGCATTATTTTAATTGATTTCAGAGTGCACACATTCGTAAGAGTCGGTAGATAAAAACGTTATTGCCCATAAATCACATCCAATTTGGGATAATTTCAAACAAAAGTAGAAGCTTTATTTACTCGGATTTTTCATTATTTACATTATTTACAATATTAGAACTTAAGTTTAAAATTTGGCTACTCTAAAAATAACCCTGTATATACCTACTATGACAAGTCTATCTTGTAGTGGGCATGTTTTGTGGCCTGATATATTATACCATAATTATACAATACAAACCTAATCTAGAATTCTCTTTTAAGAATGGTGCCATATCCAGTAAGTCATCCTCTTTTTCCTCAGATGGGGGTAGTTTGTCAAGGAACTCCTGTCTTACATATACATGGCATGTTGTACAAGCTAATGATGCTTCGCAAGCCCCTAGAATTAAATTTAATCAAAAATTAATAAGAAACATATGGTCAATAAAAACAAGAGATCATGATTATATGTAATAAATTTATCTTCGCTGACGGTTTCATTGGCAGTCAATCATAATAAGCCTGGGTTTTTCAATGTCAGTTAACATTACTTAAACTTTAAAAATTATTTGAAATAAGAACTTTACAATTTTTTTAATACATAATTAATTAAAAAAATATACTAATTCAAATTACTCTTTGTGGATATTTAAAAGGTTTATTTTATGTTACAGCAATTTTTATAAAAGCTCAGCTTTTTGAACTATATGGACCACCCATTGCCACTGGTATCCCCCAATGGATATGTTTTAAGAAGAACATGGACAAGATAAAACACAAGCCATATTAGCCCCAATAATTTTATTTATTTATATGGATGACAAATTAGCACACAGTCCACTCGATGGTAAGTCTGTGGACCATAGACATCTACATTTATATTTGATTTAAAATCATAATGCAGATGCGTTGGTCACCCCTGAGGACTAAGATGGAATGCCTTTTTTCCATTAAAAAGGGTTTCCGGGTCTCTACACTCACCATATGAAACACAACAGCATTAAGCTGCTATTTTATGCTGGTATTCTGTGAGTAGTTCTATCATGGTTGAGCCGACCCTTTTGTGCTACAACCACATATAACTGCAGATTGGCTCTAGCATGCCACAGCCTAGGAAGAACATATAGTCATTCATCATATTTGATATTGTCAGAAAAGCCGATATAAACAACTTACTTATTTATTAGTAGTAGTAATGTATGCACTAAGTTTGCCATTTAAATATAATTTCCTTTATGGGTCTACTGGAAGATATTTCAGCAAATTATGGAATAAGTAGAACCTTTGTACGAACTTACGATAAGACTGATTCTGTATCTTGATGTGTGTACATAAATAAATGAAAAATTGATGATTTTATTTTATTTCACATTTAAATTGGGTTTGTACTCTTCAATCAATCTTATAATAACTTAGTAATCTTTCTATTTTACCACTAAATGCCATGCATCATTTTCCAAACTCGACTCTCTCTCCTTAACCTTACTTTTGTTTCTTCTTGTAACTTTGTCATGAAATACGGCCAATACATGGCCGATGCATTCTCATTTCATGACCTAATCTTTCTATTCCATAAAACCTGATCACCCAAATTTAAGCCAAATATTCTACTGCAGCATAATTTTGGTTACATGGATATGGACAATCTTGGAAAGGATGCGTTGTTTTGGGACTGGTCAAATCTTTTTAGCGCAGATCTAATCTTTTTAGTTCTATATAGTAAAAATTAAATCTTTATGTGCAGTCAAATTTAAACATCGTCCATCGCCTTGGCTTACTTAAGTATAAACATAAGCAGAATGCGTTTAATAGAGAAAAGTATATTAACATTCGCAATCACTGCAATAAGAAGTGTAGGGATGCTCAACGCTTTATATTCATAAGTAAGTCAAAAATGGTGATGCAGCAAAGGTATGGAAGTTTATTAGATCATTGGGTGTTGGGAAATATAAGATACTCATACTACTACAATCTTTTAAATAAACATTTCTCTTCTTTGTCCTGCTTATATAGCACTACTAACATATCTTACAACAATTACCACTCCCAATTACTTCTCTATTGTTTTTAAGCCATTCACTGCTTGCAACATTAAGAAGAGCATTTTATCTATTACTTCCAATGCAGTGGGAAGTGACTGTGTCAGTCTTCTTTGATTCTTCCTATTCTCAATATTATTTGTCATATCCTTATCTTCTCAATTTTTACAAATAGTATTCCATCATCTTGGAAAAATGCTGACGCTATTCCTACACCAAAGAAAAGTAATCCTGCATCCTTTTCTGAATATCGTCATATCTTTTTACTGCCCTTTTTCTATCTATAATCTAATGTCCTTGAATGCCTTGTTTACACCCAGTTCAACAGTTTTCTTTGTGCAAATTCTCTCTTTAATCCTGTACTGTCAGGATTTTGACCTAGCCACATTACTACCACACAGCATTGGTGAACATCACTGTTGATATCCAATTAGGAATGGAACACAGTGACTGATTGTGCTTTGTTTATTAGATTTCAGTATACCAACAGAATTCAGTATATCTAAGTAATTAAAATCTTTTTAGGATGTTAAAGGTTGATCATGAAGTTGAAGTCGAAGAAAAGAAAAATGAAGATCATAAATCATAAATTTTTATTTGCAAGAATCACGGTATAAAAAGATCTTATAATTTGTCTAGTGCAATCGTGTTTCGCTAACAATGGTAAATAGCATGCAAATACAGAATCAACAATATTGTATTAATTACAATCTAAAAAATCTTTTAGTCATAATAACATTCGGTTTTTAACCAATTAAACAAATGTTTCTTAAATAATCTTTCACCTAATAATTTAAATTCATTATGTAGTTTATTAAATATTTTTATACACATATTTAGGCAGCTTTTGTTGTATTTAACGAATCTAGGAATAACATCTAGAACTAGTTTTTCTGGGTCACATCGGTTTCGGGGATATATATCATACGCTTTAATAAATAATGATTTATTTTTGAAGACAAACATACTCACTTCATGACTAAGAAAAGATGTATACACATTGTTAATTCACTATTTTTTTTGGTGTTTTAAAATAATAAATTTATGTGATTCTATCCCAACATGTCTTATATGTTGTGTGTTGTTTTTCTACTTGAGTAGATAATAATAGGCTACTAGATAAGTGCAATAGTATTATACTCTTTATGCACAAGGAAATTATGGCCTTGAAACATATTGCTTACACCATACCCACCACCCAACACCCATAAACTCATATTCCACCATGCTGTGCAGCATATGAGTTTGAAAATGGTGATAATTAAGACACTGCTCAACTTGATATGAAATGAAAACTCATTCGAACTTTTTAGAAAACTAATTCTTTTTAATATTGAGTTTTTATCAAGATTTTTTTATATAAGAAGAGGCAAACAAAAATACAGCTCACCTGATGGTAAGTGACTACCACCGCCATAAACAACTGTCATTGGGTGCGTCTGGCAGAAAAAAACGCTAGCAAGCACTTACTAGCGCTAAAATAGTTTTCGGCCAGGATACGATTGCTACTTCAGTAGCGCTGACACAATCCGCCATTTTGCTTATTTAATTTGTTTGTTTTGAAGTAGTTTATAAGTTGTTTTTAGCAATATTAGTTTTAAGTAATATAATGACATAGACATATAGATGTTATTAAAAATTCATGATTCGTAAGTTTTTAATATGAATACTTCACAAACATATAATTAGGTTAGGTTCCTCGGTTAAAACTAGCATCGTATCCTAGAGGAAAATAGCTACTTACGATTTGACAGTGCTTACCGCTTACGATCGCCATTTTGCTTATAAGCGCTTCCTAGCGCTTTTTTCTGCCAAACGCACGCATTGTGCATTGCTAGCCTTTTAAAAAAGAGTAACCACGTTTCTAAATGCTGCCTATCTTTTGTTTTAGTTTCTCTCCGTCACTCCTTACAATACCGACAGGACAATATGGAGTAGTGGATATTTTTACACCACCAATACATGGTAAAAGACACATTTGTCAATTAATGTTGAATATTTTTAGTAACTCGGCTGGGCAGCGTTCGGGAAATTACGACACATCTTATCGTCAGGTATACCTCAATCTCTGAAAACTAAAGTGTACAACCAGTGCGTGTTGCCAGTGATGACTTACGGATCAGAGACGTGGTCCTTCACTGCTGGTCGTATGAGGATGCTCAAGGTCGCTCAGCGAGCTATGGAGAGGGCTATGCTCGGAGTTTGCCTGCGTGATAGACTCAGAAATGAGGATATCCGCAGTAAAACCAGAGTGACCGACATAGCCCAACCGATTAGTAAGCTGAAGTGGCAATGGGCCGGCCATATAGCTCGAAGAACCAGTAACCGATGGGGAAGACAGGTTCTCGAGCGGCAGCCTCGTACCGGTAGGCGTAGTGTAGGGCGACCCCCCACTAGATGGAGTGACGACCTGGTAGGACATGCAGGAAGTCGATGGATGCAGGTGGCTCAGGACCGTGCTTTGTGGCATTGCTTGGGGGAGGCCTATGTACAGCAGTGGACTTGTGAAGGGCTGTAATGATGATGATGATTTTTAGTAAATAATTAGAATATATAAAATCTGTAGAAACTACCCTTACCTTCCATTTCAATTCCATATCTGTGGGCCAAATAAAGTACATTATCACCAACTTTTCCTCTCACTTTGGTTTTATTTCCATCCTTATCAATGTACGTTATATTTACACTGAAATGTTATAAAACTTTACTCTTATCATACCTGAAAATAATATTAACTGATTTGCTGAAATTAGCACAAAATTCGTACAAAAACTAAGAACCAATGTACTTACACTTCTTCTTCTGATTTAGGATCTTGCCATTCGAATTCACCATGCTTTAAGCCTACATTAAGAAACACAAAACTGTTAAATATTGTATTTTATCGAAAAGTGTAAACCAAAGATTTTATCTTTACCTAATGTCACATGAATTTGCCTATCTTTGGGAATAAATGATTGTATGAGTCTCAATGTTTGCGTCACAACACGAGTTTTTAGGTGTCGAAACATTGCTATAAATATTTTCGCATTTATATTGCACTCATAAATTAATAAACGGTACTATTAAAGTTCCATGGTTCATAAAAGATAGCTTGATCTCTGCGACAGCTGTCAGTAAAAATCACGCCTATGAAGTCCTGATATTTCTTAGTAAAACAGACATATATAGCGGGTATGTTCCGAAATACAACGCAGTGTACTGTCAATAGTCAGTAATCTATGTGGGGTGCGTTTGGCAGAAAAAAGCGCTAGCAAGCGCTTATAAGCGCTGAAATAGTTTTCGGCCAGGACACGATTGCTACTTCAGTAGCGCTGACACAATCCGCCATTTTGCTTATTTAATTTGTTTGTTTTGAAGTAGACTTTATAAGTTTTTTTATGCAATATTAGTTTTAAGTAATATAACGACATGAATAGACATATACATGTTGTTAAAAATTCATGATTGGTAAGATTATAATATGAATACTTTAAAAAATATATTTAAATTAGGTTAGGTTCCCCGGTTAAAAGTAACTTCGTGTCCTAGAGGAAAATAGCTACTTACGATTTGACAGCGCTTACCGCTTACGATCGCCATTTTGCTTGCAAGCGCTTGCTAGCGCTTTTTTCTGCCAAACGCACCCTATTGGTCCATAGATCAAATAAATATGTAGCATGCTAGTACTGTCCAATGCAAATGACGTATCATTTGACGCTTTATTGTACTAGCGTGCCGCCGCCATATTGTATCGGATATCCGGCCATAATAAAACAATTTTTAATTGTGTGTTTGCCGAATGAAGCATGCCAGAATTTGTTTCTATTTATTCAAATACAAAAAATTATAGAATAATTGATAGTATATCCATTAGGAGGATATAATGATTTTTGGAGCACAAAATGACAAAATAATCGCCAACACTTTTCCAAATGGCGCAAAAGTATGACGTCATATACTGTCCAATGTTTTGGAACGAATCACCAGTATAGCGTCGATTCATGACGTCATTTGCATTGGACAGTACACTGCGTTGTATTTCAGAACATACCCTCTGTCTACGTAAGACAGTACTGTCATGTCACTTGTTTGGGTGCATATAATTAGGTCGGCATGCCCATAAAGTATGACATTGACAGGTACTGTCTGTACCGTAAACAGAGAACGGTACTACTAAGAAATTCAGGACTTCATAGGCGTGATTTTAATGACAGCTGTCGCAGAGATCAAGCTATCTTTTATGAACTATAACTTCTTCATATTTTTTTGGTTGTTATCATGCTATTCAAAGTTTCAAAGGTACTCTGTGTTGCTATTGCACTGATCCTACATATACAAGTACGCTGGACTGGCTATACCCCGTGTCATGCTGAAGCGATTTGATTTCCGCCATTTTGGCGCTGACAGCAGAAGTGCACGTCTACGGAACTAATAATAGGGATAAGACAGTATACCAAATTATGTCGATAAAAAATTCCATACCCTACCTATACCTTAATAAATATAATGGACTCTATGGATAGATGGAATCTACTTGTAACGTCCATTCTATTTGTGTATCGTATTAATATAATGCCATTATCATTCATCATCATTAAAACCCTTCACAAGTCCAGTGGCGAAGCTTCCATTAAAGCCGAAAAGCCGGGCTTGCCTTATTAAACCTGAATCAATCAATAATATCAATCAATAATATCAACTAATAAAATAACTCGTAAAATGTTTCAAGCTATTTCAAATTTCCCGCGCACTCCACTGTTCGACACATGTCGACCGATGACCTCGTATTGCCTTAGCGATACTGCTGCTGTCATAAAAAATGAGTTTTAATAGAGCTAATAGTTGTCTCCCTCGCTCGCGTGGGATTCCAACATAACGAAGCTATATGTATCCCGCTCTTTAAAACATTTAAAAGTTTAGAAAAACATAAATTCTATGTATATGACGTCGATAGTAGATATGACGGTTTAATAGGTTCGGATCTTTTAAAACAACTTGACGCCTCAATAGATATGAAAAACTAAATATTGCACACACGTGACACAAATATATCGATTATATATATACCCCATACGAAATTAAATCGGAACCAAGAAATCCAATTAAGGATATAAAACGTCCTCCACAGGTTCATTCTGTTACTGCTTCAAGTCTTCAGGACCCAGGCCCTTCTACTTCAACCGATTATCCGAAATTACGGCATACTACCGATAAAGGAGGGACAAGCTCTCATTAGTAACGATAAGTGGTCTTTAGTTAAGATATTAGACTTAAGCTTAATACGTGAGGATCTAGAATTTAATAAGAATCGATACGATAACCTAAATACACATGTGACACGTTATTTTGGTAAAAAAATAATTAATTTAAAAATTCAAACAGATTATATTCAAAATATAACAATTGAAAAATTAAAACAACTATTACCATCGAAGAGGGTTAAACGCGGTATTCTGAATCCTCTCGGGTCTCTTATTAAAATTGTGACAGTTAACTTGGACAATGATGATGTCATAAGGTACGATGCTTTAATAAATGATGTAAAAAGTAAATCAAGGTCAGCTAAATAGAAAACTACGTGCATGCGCACTTATAACTTCGAAAGGTTCATGTAATTTGAAAGCGGAGAAATATTGTTCTGCCTTAGATGTACTTATAAAAGATCTCGTGCTTCCGGTGTCTATCATAAAACGAGTTTGAATTTCCGGGATTTCGATATGCGGGAGTTTAAAAGTCGTATCACAATTTATTTGTATTATTTCGGGGGTGGATTGGGGAGCTTCTATCTGAAAATTTTCAGTATCATTCGAAATTATATTAGAGTCATGACTTACTTCTTCTATTTCACTATACGGTTCTACTTCAAATTGGGGCACTTCTAAATTATACGTGTAATTATTCGCGTCACAGTAATTTATATTATGGCTATAATATTCCGCTGGTATTTTGGGTTCGTTACTATAGAATATCTCGTTATTTCGGAGAACCCTAGAGTCATCTAGCATATTTTGTCTTATCGCACGTGCGGTACGCATAGAGACATCGGTATTTTCATTTAAATTTTGTTTTTGGAGATTCTGATTGGGTATATCAAATTTAAAATTATTTTGGGGTTGATTTGTAAAAGCTAGTGGGGGTTGCGCATGATTATTCATGGGTGGCTTAAAGCCCTGCTGTTGTTGAGGTATGCCAGATTTAAAATTATTTTCAGGTTGATTTGTAAAACCTAGTGGGGGTCGCGCATGATTATTCATGGATGACCTAAAGCCCTGATGTTGTTGAGGTATACCAAATTTAAAATTAGGTTGCTGGTTTGAAATACCAAACTTAAAGTTCTGTGGTCCCGTATTATTATTAAATCTTGGGCCATTATTAAAATTATTTTGAGAAACAAATCTAATACTATATCTAATCTAATCTAATCTATCTCTATCTAATGAATACCGATACCTGGGTATGTCACAGAACATTGGTATCGATGAAGCTGGTATGAAACAGTCAGTTTGCGACGTGTTTTATGCACGCTTGACCAAAGTGCTTAACAGCCTTTTGTCCGGTGTGAATAACGCATATAACGGCTGGGTCATGCCTGTCCTCATGTATACCTTTGGCATACTCAGGTGGACTCAGACTGAACTTAATGTCCTGGAAAAGTTCACACTACCATGACGTCCCATAAGATGCATCATCCGAGATCGTCGGTAATGAGACTGTACTTGCCGCGAAAGCATGGTGGGCGTGGCTTCTTAAGCGCACTCACCATGCATAATCGTGGAGTGTGCAGCCTCCGTGATTACTTTCTTGCGAGATCAGATGACCCATTCTATAAGGACGTCATTTCTTGTGATAAAGGACTTACCCCTCTATCCTTAGCCAACGAGCAATGGCAAGACCCGGCAGTGCAGAGCATTTCAGACCGGGAGACCGGGAGAAGGAGCTCCACGGGAGGTTCTACAAGGCTCTACATGAGCCTTTCGTAGACACAGTAGTCTCCCTCCACTGGCTACGCTTTGGTGATCTCTTCAAGGAAACCGAGGGTTTTGTCTGTGCAATACAGGATCAGGTTATTAAGACCAACAACTATCGGAGATACATCCTAATGGATGGCACCGTCGACATCTGTTGAGCTTGTCGCCATCACGGTGAGTCACTTAGGCATATCATCTCCGGTTGTTCGGCGCTTTCTAACTGTAAGTACTTGCACAGGCACAACCTAGTAGCTAGAATTCTTCATCAGGAGCTCGCTCTGAAATACGGTCTCGTGGATCGGAAATTGCCGTAATACAAGTACTTGCCGGAAGCTGTACTTGAAAATGATCGCGCCAGACTCTATTGGGACCGGGCCATCATCACAGACAGGACTATTCTTGCGAATAAGCTTGATATTGTGCTGATGGACCGGGCACAGTCAAGGATATTTTTGGTCGACATTACCATTCCGTATGACGAGAACCTGGTGAAAGCCGAAACAGATAAGCAAACAAAATATCTGCACCTCGCTCACGAGGTGACCGACATGTATGTTGGTCTGTCGACCGAAATTACTTCTGTAGTCATCTCTGCAAACGGGCCAATCCCAGTCAGCCTCTCGGGTCATTTGAGGTGGCTGGGACTACGTGGCGGACCGCTCCAGGCTCAAATGCAGAGGGCGATGCTCCTCGATACTGCCCGCATCGTGCGCCGGTTTCTTTCCCTTTCCTCCTAACCCTCGGCCGTTTGGTCTCCCCTGGCGAGGGCCTCCAACTGGTTGGGCTTTATTTATTTATGTACTTTTATATTTATTTTATGTTATGGATATTTATGTATGTTTATCTTTTCATTTTCATTTATAATTATATATTTATAGAACCCAACCAGATGAGAAAACTATATTGATACCCCCAATAATAATAAAACATTTATTCATTACCATCAATAAAATTACAATAAGCAGTACACACAGAAATAACCATAATTACATATTGTAGTAATGAATAGGCTCTAGCTCAGCATAAATGTTGCAGTTGCCCAGAACGCTGTTATTCTGCCA